CTCCATGTTTTAAGGACTTCCTGATCAATTAAGCACCTGCTTTAGCACAAAAGGGCCTGGGCATTTGAAGGTCCCCCTTGTTCCCGGCTTCTTTGTGTGAGAGCGCCGGAGTTTGTGAAAGGCAGGCTCACACCGCGCTGGAGTCAGTTGTATAGATGTATTCATTGAGAGCGTAATGGCCCAGCAGCTGGAGGCACTTTACCCACAATCCCCTAAATGAGCTCCAGACACAGAGACTCAGCACTGGCTTGTACTTGAATGCTTGTGTTTGTATTCAGTGGCACCTGTGTCTCTCCTCCAGTGCCTCCAGCACTGTGAAAGGAGCTAATGAGAGCGTGGTTTGTTTTCGCCGCCTCCTCGTCCTGTCCCGAGTCGCACGCTCCCACAGGACTCCCCTAACCCCTATTAAAGGCCCCCTACACCTGACAAGAGAAAAAAGCCGCTCCATTTGTCATCTTGTTTGGCCTAACCTCACCCACTCCACTCTCATTAGGCCTCACGGTCCTGAATGAAACTGTACATGAGAGACGTTTGCTCACTGCCGCCACTTCCACACACCACTGATGACAGATATTTATGGAAAGCTCTTATGTGTGTTGAAGGATGGCTCCAGGAATAATTATTACACATACTTTAGAATTCCACTGACTGCTGCGTCATATTGGAAATATTTGTGTCTCCCGCTGATAGTGAAAACAAACTTTTTTTTTTTTTAGATTTGCTCAGATGTGTCTGAGCTACTGTACGCTGGGGGAACAATGACCTGATGTCTTCAGACATGTTTCAGCATGTTGGAAAAGATCAGGACAGGACAGCGTGTTACGATACCTTATTTGTCGTTCGTCTCAAGAATAACATGTTTATCAGGAATATGCATAATTTTTAAGCTCTAAAAGTTTTGGCCTTTCAGTCTCTTTCAAATTTACTGATTCAATAAATATTGTGCGCCTCAAGTCCTCCATACCTGGTTCGATTATTCGTAGTCACCTACAGCGCACTACCTCAAAACAATACCTGTCCATTCATTGACAATTTCACACCCCTGCCAGTTTATCATCACTCCTTCAGTCGTTTTGTTTTCCTCCTCGGAAATACCCGCTCTTTCCTAGTCGCAGTGGATAAATAAAGCAGGCCTTTATTTTTTTAAATGGCCGTGGCGGCTTTGATTAACAGGGCCACTGCAGTGTTTATTGTTCTCTTAATGTCTTATTGAAGGCCCTGGGAGAGCAATGCTTTTAAGAAGTGCCTCTGGCAGCCAAAGCTGTCACGCGCTAACATTCTCAATTAGCTGTCGACTGTCGGGCCTCTTCATTTTTTAAATTGTGACATTTTTGATAAAGAGTATCCCCTTCCCTCAGGACCCCATTTGCACACATCTCTCCTCTCTAAAACCTCATATTTTATAATCTAAACTACCTTCGCTAAGAGCCACGTTGTCCGGGAAATGCATCTTTGAGAAACTAATGAATAAACACCGGGGACATGTTACTGTTATTTATATTCATCGATATTCCCTCCCGCAAGTCGCCCCACGTTTTGCCTTTTGAAAGCAATGATGCAAGATTAACGGTGCTGCGAAACTAGGTTTGAGAGTGGATGCATCAAGCGAATTTGATGAATCGCATGTTAACGGTATGAGAGAACATGAAACTCTAGTTGACCGCCACACCGATCTAGACAACTCTCGGCCGATACCATTGCAAGAGGAAATAGCTTGTATTGGGCCGCTGCCAGACGAGCGCTAATCTCGATATGGTAGAACACAGTGTCTGTGTTTGGTGGGCGCCTTTCTCCCTCTACCAGATGTGTGTTGTCATTATCATCCCGTCCCAAAGCGGAGTGGAGCAGAGCCGGCAGGGCCAGGTGTTGGGCACGTACGCCTGCAAGAAGCCATTACACCATCTTTGTGCATCAGTCCAAGCATGTTGTTTGGATAGTAGCTGATCTCAGAACTGGCACGGGCCCCAGTTTGAGTGCTAGGCTCATTGCTGAAGCTCTGATCTGGGGACTGTCCTTCGGGACACTCCTCCTCACCAGGACTCCAAAAGCAACCTCAATTACAGCACTGCCTGGGGTTAAACTTAAATTGCTTCCAATTCGGCATTACTGTCTTATAATTCAATTGTACGAGCATGAGCCATCTGAGGAGGATGATAGACCCTACCAGCCCACCTGGTATTCATCATTGTGTAATGTGGAATCATGTAATTGTCTGGTGAAAGATTACATTGTTATGTAGGTCTCCCTACGCTGTTCTGACATTTGAGACTCATTCTGTTTGCTCTGGTGTAGATCGTGGGTCCATCAGATGGGTCAGATTACATTGTGGACTACTACGGGGCACGCCTCACCCGTCTTTCGATAACAAACGAGACCTACAGAAGAACGCAGCTCTCTCCGTGAAGACACCAGGTGAGGATCTCTTTGTCAAAGCAGTGACTTTACTATACAACTTTACTATACAAGGTTGAATGGGATAGTTGTGAACCCTGTCACACAAAACCAGCAGAGAACAGAACAAGGGGTGTATGGGTAAGTGGCATATTTTGAAAGTTCTTCAAAGACTTCTTAATAATGCGGTGAGTCAAGGTCAGTGGTGATCTCGAGTGACCTCCTGGGGTATCAAAGCAAACTGGCAGACCAAGGACACCTTCAGCTGTGCTCTAAGCCCCTGTCCACCACCCCTCACTCTCCTGTTCCCCGGAAGGGGCTCCCCGCTCTGGGGAGAGAGAGCGATTAAATGTCAGATATGCCGAGGGGATGTTGGGAAAACACAACGGGGTCGTGAGATTGCACTTATTATGGCTGGCACCAGGGCTGCATCTGTTGAATTTTGTCCTGGTACTCCACACACACGCTCTTGCAGACATCCCCGTATCCAAAAGAAAATAGTCGCCGCATTGTAGATGATTCCTTATATCCGTGTCTGTCCCCTATCAGTTTCTGTTTCCTGCCAGTTCGGCACTCTGGTTAACATTTGCTGCCGCAGTGGTAATGGTGGTGACGGGTTGTTATGTGGAATGGGACCCATGTGGATGCCATTACTTGCTCTCCTGTGTTTACGTTGTTCCAGTGTAAGCCTCCAAAGAGACAAGGTCTCCGTCCCTGATTCACTCAGCCACATTCACCACATCTCCTTGTCTCTTTGCCTCCCTTTTCTTCTATATCTCACTTGCTTTTACCCAAAACTCACTAGGAGAGTTTCATGAGGCAAGTCTAGTCTAAAAGCAAAGGCATTTTCAGTAGAGAACTGTCACTGAAACTAAGTCCAAGACTAGATTTATCCGTGTTTGACTTAAAAATATTAGGACACCACCTCAGACCATCATCCTAGCTATTTCCTTATAGCCCGATCCAGATTAGTTGATCTAACATTATATCTAGTGCTATATCAAGACAATCAGCCCTTATTTAGAAGAACCAAATGTAGATCTTGATAAAGTACGCCAGATATAGACAAGACGCCTAGATTTAGACAAAGCAACCCGCGTGTCAAATGGTCCAGTTGTATCTTAAGGGTTCAATGGCTTATCACTGGGGCAGTACCCTTAAAGTACCTTATCTACCCTTAAAAGGTGAATATTAGTACCTTAGAGTAGTAATATATACCCTGAAGTTACTACCATGAATCTTTCAGGGTAAATAAGGTTCTGATATGTCCCTTTGAGGGTTCTGCACCAACAACAAGCTATTGTACCCTTAAAGGTACAATGTATTTATATATATTTTTTCTGACAATATACAGGGCATGAAAACCTCTGATAAATGTCCTAGAACCAACTTAATCCTTCATCTGTTTTTCTATGTTTCATCCTTATAAATAGGTTTCCCGTGTTTACATCAGCTCTGGAATGAATCCAGAAACACAAATTATGTTCTTTCTCGTATAGGAAAAATGACACTGATCCATTTTCAGCATTGGAAACATTCCCTGCCACATGTGTCCTCTCCAATGTGGGAAGAGACTGATTTATCTTCTGCTTGTGTTATCCTGGACCTGCTCCCAAACAGATCTAACTCTTTCCATTCTGCCGTTTCAGGTGGATCCCAAATGAGATGTGTACCAAATGTACAGGATCGTGTTATGTAAATCCCATCTTTTCTTTGGATATGCCTTTGCCGTTTCCAAACACAAAGACACATGGACATGCCAAACTACGCTCTGGGAAATACTAGCCCATGTCTGGAGTTTGCAAACATGGCTCATGCATGTGCTGAGATAGCGCTGGTCCCTCTGTCCAAGTTCTGCTCGTATCCTCGTGTAGCTGTTTTTTCCACTGGGCTGCTCATGTCCTCTATCACTCTCTCTCTCTCTCTCTCTCTCTCTCTCTCTCTCTCTCTCTATGAGCAAAAATAACAATGCACCGCTAAGAGTTTGAATTGATTTAGATTAAGTATATCATGTAATACAGCTGTCAGAGTTGTTAAATGTCTCCCTAAAAATGGAGAACAAGATAACTTTGATATTTTAATATAAAAGAAACAAAAGTGATTAATGTGCAAAATGTTTTCCTAACCCCCCCGTCCCTTTCTTGTACCTCTTTTCTCCTCCTCTCAAGCTCTTTTCTTGTTCCCCAGCAGTGCAGGGCTTATCAATAGACCAGCCGGATAAGAGACCAGAGATTTATAGTGCACTTCCCACAAGAGAGAGCAGCAGCTCTGGGACTGCACCCTCCCTCAGTGCGGAGGAGGCCATTCCTCATCCGGCCCTGGTGTTTTATAGGTGCAACCTCCATCTCTCCCTCTCCCTCTCCCACTCTCAGGTCCTTTGAGATGGAGAAAAATTAAGAGGAGTAAACAGTTTGGAGGAGGCGTGGGGTGCTCCCTTTCTTTTACCCGTCCAAAAACAACAAACTCCCAAAAGAGGGGTGAAATAATCCTGCATTGCAGACCACATTGATTCTTTATGCAGCTGCATCAGGTGGGGAAATGGGTCCAAAATTTATTATTCTTTTACTCATTCACTATTTCCTATATGGTGCATGCCACGTAGTGCACTATATGTGGAAAAAAAGAGAAGGAAAATGAGTGAGTGAATGTGGTTTAAATGAGCAATAGAAAAATGCTCTATATGCGAATCTTGTAATGGAAAATTACAATAATAGTTTCATTTGTTATTACATATGCAACTTTTAGTTTTTTTGGGTTTAGGGATGGTATGATGATTCAATAGATCTTTGTATTTAATATTTATTTATTTATTTGAGCTCAGCAGTCTTTTCCCCATTGGATTGTGCATAAAAGAGTGAATTGTATAAGAATATTAAGTGCTTACGGTATTTAAATAATACACCCCAAACAGTGCACTATATGAGCGATTTAGCAGCTAAAAAGTGTTTTTATGCATGCTTGGAAGATTTATGCATGTTAGCAAAAAATTTGCTTGAAATTTCAAAGGCCTATGGCTGAACTTGCCTTCTTCCTTGTCTTCTGTCCACCTGAGGGGTTTGATGCACAGAGACTCTCAAGTCAAGATGACACTAAACAGCGCAAATAGGAAATGGATGAGATCATGGGGCCTGTACAGTTTTGTGTTAGTCTAAATGGACGTTTCTGAGGTCATTCGATGGCCCCAAAAAGTATCTTAACATTTAAGCCACACTTCAAAATGTTCAAAATAACAACAGTGATTCAAATTCAATGACATTCAGACATTTTTAAGTGTGATTAAAGTGTCCAAATACTTTTTGGGGCCACTAGCCATATTGTTACATGTGTTTGACGTGATAGGATGTGGACAGGTCCACAGCTGCAAAATCCCACAGTGAGTGCAGCATCTCTACTCCCTTCCCAGAATTCAACAGTCTCGAAATGTGATCACCAAGAAACCCCTGCCCTGCAATCACCATTTCTCTCTCTCTCTGTCTCTCTATCGTCTCTAAACCTGTGGTGCATTGAAGTGCAGATGCAATCATGAATGGAGCGCTCATACACTCGTGATATTGACAAGCATTTCTGGTTGACACTGTGCCAAGCAAGCTGTCCTTGTCACTCTCGACAGCCTGTAAAGAAAATGATGAACAAATTCCTTATGTAATGGAGCTCTGTTATACCACCGATTTCTGGCCTCCTTGATAAACTCGTTCTGATCAAAGCTTTACATGTCCTAATACTAAAATAAATGGAGGCCTGTTTCAATGTTATTTTTTAATTGCAACTTTAAATGTCACAAGTACAATAAATTTTGGTAACTGCTGCTTTTACTTTTTTTGGTAATTTATGCTTTATATGCTTTATTTCTCTCAAAATTTGACTTTTTCTCAGAATTTCTACTTTATTCTCTTTAATTGTGACTATATATATGTCAAAACTGCAAGGACTTTATTTCTCGTAACACTTCTTAATTTTAACATTATTTTAAAAATGCAGCCTTTTCTTTCAATTGCAACTTTTTTCTCACAGTTGTGACTTTATATCCCAAAATTGCAACTACTATATTTCTCATAACTGATACTTTTTGTAATTTATAAATTATTTCTCATAATGCAACTCTCAGTTCAGTTTTTTCTCACTACTGTAACTTTTTTTCTCATGATTGTGAATTTATATCACATTTGTGACTTTATATTATGTGAGTTTATATCTCACATTTCTGACTTCATGTCTTATTTTAAACTTTATCTCAAATGTGACGACAGGAATTCAAGAAGAAAATGAAAAACATGAGGTGAAATTTCTCATGAGAGCAAAAGCAATCAGTTAAAACTAGTTTCTTCTTCAACGGTGTCTAATTGCACTCATAACCTCTTGCATTACAGAGACATCTGCCTTTTATGGACGGATTGATGGTGTCAAAACAGTCTTAGCTTTTGTTTATTGTGCAAAAACAAGTGCAAGTCACACATACTAACAGGTCAGACTCCCAATAGTCACCGTTTACGAAGCCTGTGTGTGTGACCTTTAATCCAAGCATGGTCTTGTAAACTAATCTGCTTGGAACTTTACTGTGTGTGTGTGTGTGTGTGTGTGTGTGTGCGTTAGCCTACTAGAAACGAATCGAGTACTGTGTCGTGGCTCGCGACGCAGTCTATGACTCAGCAGAAACGCAGTTTGTCATCGTCTCCCATCACCCGCACAGCCCCACTGCAATGAAGCTGCGGACGCAGCACGTCGGTAGGGAAGATTCATGGCGCTGGCGTACCGCGCCGTCTCACCTCTGAGTCAAACACCCCGGCGGCGTGGGCAGAGCTCATCCTTGCTGATGGAGACGCCATGACAGCATAGAGAAATCTTTGTTCACCAGCTGTCCCTGATTTTACAAAAAAAAATTCCAACAAACCCATTTCTTCTAAAGTACATCCTGTTTTTTTGGCCAAGTATTTGGCTGGGAGATCCCGCACAAATTTGGGTCCTGCGCTCGCTATAGCTATTCAGGGTCACGCGTCATGTGTGTTTAATCAAAATTCAATTACTGTGCCGCACCACGCTCCAAAACCCCACAGCCCAGGTTATGAAGTATGATGAAACAGGCCCCGGCCCTAATTGCTTCAGTATGGAGCCAATATCTCCCTAGCATGTTATGATAAATAGCTTCCTGTGCAGGAGGTATGCGAGTCCAGCGTCCCCTCCTCACCTTCTCCTGGTCTCCTTCTTTCTTTTTGTGATTCTCGTTTTCTATCTTTCCACACGTGTTTTACAGGACTCTGATCAGTCCGGTGGGATGCAGGTCAAGGTTGTGGTGGTTTTTAGAGTAAGGCATGTTGCGAGCGCTGCAGTGGTGCTGTCACAAGAGTTTAAGAGTTTAAGCCATGATCTGATTGGATTACCATTATATGTTCACAGAAAAGTATTACAAGTACTTAAGGGTTTTATTGAGCACAGAGCCAAAGTAGCACCATGTTTTTGCTTTGTTTTGGACAAGTTTAAGGTTTGTTGTCCAAAGAAAACCACGGAAAGACATTATATGTACACACACACACACACACACACACACACACGTTTTTGAGGTAAATGTAACGTTATAACAAGCCATTATATAGACGTCTTTCTTTTCTTTCTGAAACTAATTGGGTGATTACAAGAGACATGATACATTTCAGTAAGTTGTACTGTTTGTACCGTCTGATGTTCAGTCGCATTTATTTCACACTATAACTGGTAGTAAAGGGGAAGAGAGGATTGGTTTACGTGTGCGTCGCTCTAGATTACTCGCTGGATGTTTTACACTTGGGCAAAAAACATTGCGCGATGAGGAGTGTCTTCACGCACATCAAGAACAACAACAACATTTCTTTCTGCCATTTTTTCCGTCATCAACCATGTTGGAGATAACTACTGCTGCTCTGTACCTGTTGTGGAAGTCCCAAATATGCCGGAAAGCCAAACGCCGACGTGTCTGGATTCACAGCACCATCCACAGGTGCACACAACTTTCAGAAGTTTCGTCAATTTCATCGTCTTCTCCAGGAACTCAAACCAGATGTGTCAATAAGCTTTTCGCTGATTGGCTTGTACGACAACGCATCATGTGAATTTCCCGCTCCAGTTGCATGAGTACATTACGTACAAAGTCAATGCAAAGATGCAAATTTGTGTCTATTCACGTCTTTGCATTGACTTTGTATGTAATGTACTCGCGCAAATAATAAAATATGCATTTGGTGTGCACACACCATAATGGTGTGTTCACACAAAGAGCAAAGCTAATATTGGCATCGCATTAAGGTCTTTCCACACTGAGCGCGATGCGAAAAAGCGAGGCTAATCGCCGACGAACGGTGCTTTCACACCAAGTGCGAAACGATTGTTGGCCTTCTGCTAATTCACGCCTGCATGCTAGGTGGTGCTGACCAGCAATGCATTTTTCCTCAGATATGTATCTTGTAAATGGATTTAACATCATCCGCTGCTCAATATACAGCATTAAATTAAGATAAACAAAGTTTGGTTCTACACCAGAAACACAAACTATCTATAATGCTTACAAGAATAGGCTACATCCTAAAATATAATTAGAAGTACAATTAGCATCAAGCTACACGTGAAAATGTATGTAATTATTAATGTATTTGCTTCCCCACTTTAAACCATCATTGAGAGCTTGTAATAACTTCTGATTGTGATCTATAGTTATGTCACGAATCCGGTCCGTGGCCTTCCGGCCGATTGCCACCAGAGGTCGCTCTCCCATTACATTGACTCTTACACCACACAGACTGTTACACATCACCCTGGACTGCATTTCCCATCATTCATTGCACTGATTACACACACACAGCTGCATCCAATGAGACACACTTTATAAGCCATGGATTTCCTCTCACTCACTGCCGAGTATTGTTTAGTGTAGTGATGGGAAGTTCGGATCATTTTACCGACTCTGACCTTTAAATCTCGT